GAGCCGGCACCACTCGCTGAGGATGGTGGTGGTGGAGCCGCCGGGGGAACTCAGGGAGCGCCCCGCTCCTGGGGTGCCCGCTGGGCCAAGTTCACCCAGAGAAGACTGAGATCTGAGAGAAACAGCCACACAGACACCGGGTCAGTGCAGATGGAATGGGACGAGGTGTGCTGGAGATGGGTTTCCCTTACAACTGGTGGCGAGACAGCAGGCGGCCCCTCTGCAGCCAGGACAGACTTGGAGCAGAGACCCACTCGCAGCCCATGGAGAAGCCCACGTCGGAGAAGAGATGCCTGAGCCTCAGGACAGTCGTGGAGCATGGGACGCACGACAAGGTAGAGATGCACCCAGAGTCTGTGTGACGACGCACGCCAGAGCGAGTGGCAACAACTCCCTAAGAATCCGAGACTGTGGTAAAAGCCCGCACTGGAGCAATCCGATGGGGAAGGATTGCATCCTGCAGGTAGGACTCACACTGGAGAAGACTGTGGATTTTCCTTGTCAGTAGGGGATCCACTGGAGCAAGGGAAAAAGGGTGTGAGGACTCCTCCTCCTTTGAGAAAAGGAGAAGCAATAACAACACGGGATGAACTGACCTGCACTCCCCCATTCCCTGTGCCCCTGCGCTGCTGGGGGAGGACGTAGAGCCGGGAAGAAAAAGGAAAGGGGGGAGGGGAAGGTGTTGTTTTTAAGATCTGGCTTTGTTTCTTTTTATACTCTCAAGTAACTGTTAATAAATAGTTTTGCTTTATTCCCAATCCCAGTCTGTTTTGCCCAGGACCATGGTTGGTGGGTGCTCCTTCTCTGTTCTTGTCTCAACCCTCAGTCCTTTTATTATGTTTTTCTCCTCTCCACTTCACTGGGGAGGAGTGAGAGAGCAGCTGTGTGGAGTTTAGTTGCTGGATCAGCCTAAACCACGACAGATACCAAACCCATAACATTTACAGAAGACAGCTGCCTTTGAATGCCTACCAGGACGAGCCCAACAAGAGGAGAACAAAAGAAATAACTGCAGAAGCAATAGCTCTACAGATGCTAGTTATTAATTTCTAGATTGTCAACAGGAATCATCTGCTCCATTATGTCCAGTGGAGGAAGTGCAAAAAAGCCAAAACTGAAAGCCAGGCTGACCCAATGAAGTGATTAAGAGTCACACCTGGAGATTTTCAGGGTCCTCTCTAGTATAATTAAAAAATAGTAGATGATAACTTTGAGTACCTAATTTTGAAAGGACAAAACCCACCCAAACTAGCACCGAACAAGTCCTCATAAAGAAAGGAAAAGATAGGGGGATAATTACTGAAGAACTTCCTGATTAACTGGTCTGTCTCGAGGCTGAGTACTTACTCTTCACAGATGCGAGTATATTTGAGTGTGTAGTACTGTTTTCTGGATTGCTTTCTGAATCTCAAAGCTTAGCAGAATATTGCTGGAAGAGGACCTAACCAAAGTCACTGAGGCAGCGGGGAGATGCACCGCTTGCCTTTACAGACTCTCCTAACTATAGGGAAAAGAAAGACACCAGGCCTGGGCTTAAGACCTTCAATTTAGGTGCTTCTACGCAGACCTTATCTTAGAGCAGTTATGCAGGATAAGGAAAACAAATCCCTCTCTGGAGATGCTCCTCTGATTAGAAGGGCTATTTTAGAGGCTAAAACCAGCCGCGTGGTCTGTCTGGCAAGCTGAGCCCCATCCTTGGTGATCGAGTCTACAGCGTCCCTGGCCAGACAGCTCTCCCTGTACCACCAGAGTCAGGCTGCCAAACTCAGAAACTTTCACCACAACTCCCCAACAAAATGGTGCTGTGTTTGGAGAAAAGCACCAACATTTTCATTTTATGAAGAATCAGCACAGAGAGCAATGGATAACATTTTACCTTTTGTGTGAAGGTTGCTCAAGGCATCCAGAGCCTAAAACAAAACAAAAGCAAAGTATCAGTGACTGATTTGACACCCTCACCACTATTTCAAAGCTCTGGTTAGGACTAACATTTTTATTCACCTTTGTGGGAACTAATTTTTCTTCAGATGCTTCCTCTTCGGTAGCTAGCGCTGTTTCAGGCTCCGTAACAATCAACTTCAATTCTTCTTTTTCTCCTAAACGCAGCTTATGAAATTGTCTCTCAAGAACTCGTTGCTTCACTAAATAAAACCAAAAAGCCCCAGTGACAATCTGAATAGAAATACAACTTTAAATTGCATAACACTTTTCCACCATTACATTAGGACACATATACTGTCCCACAAAACGAAAGAGGTTTAAACTCATGACGCTAAAACAGCACACACAAGGCTTTCCTCCTGAAAAGAAATGGAAGAACAGCAGAGGATATTATTTCTGAAAAAAAATGCCAGAGAAGCAAAGCTCAGCTCCACCACACATTTCCTGGTCAGTGCCCCGCACTGAGGCTGCAGCACAGAGGTCCAGGTACCGGCCCCATGCCTTGCACATCCTCTTCCAGCCAGTGCCAAAATGGCTTGGGGCTATATGGCCTGAACTTACGAGCAGGGTGAGTCAGCAACTGGGAAGCATGATAAGGAAGAAAAAAGAAAGTGTATATATGAGAATCATAAAATCATAGAATGGTTTGGGTTGGAAAGGACCTCAAAGATCACCTTGTTCCAACTTCCTTGTCATGAGCAGGGAGACCTTCCACTATATCAGGTTGCCCAAAGCCTCATCCATTCCTGGCCTTGAACACCTCCAGGAATGGGGCATCTACAGCTTCTCTGGGCAACCTGTTCCAGTGCTTCACCACCCTCAGAGTGAAAAATTTCTTCCTTAGATCTAATCTAAATCTCCCCTCTTTCAGTTTAAAGCCATTACCCATTGTCCTATCACTCCATGCCCTTGTAAAAAGTCCCTCTCCAGCTTTCTTGTAGGCCCCCTTTAGGTACTGGAAGGCTGCTAGAAGGTCTCCCTGGAGCCTTCTCTTCTCCAGGCTGAGTAACCTCAACTCTCTCAGCCTGTCTTCATACGAGAGGTGCTCCAGCCCTCAAATCATTTTTGTGGCCCTCCTCTGGACCCGCTCCAACATCTCCATGTCCTTCTTGTGTTGGGGACCTGTCGTGGTTTAGGCCCCTCTGGCAACTAAACTCTACACAGCTGCTCACTCACCCTCCCCCACACCCCCGGGGGATGAGGAAGGGAATTAAAGGAGAAAAGGAAAAGAGACCCATGGGTTGAGATAAGAACAATTTAATACTACTACTAATATATGAATATATACATATATGTACAAGGATAAATAAATACAAACGAGTGATGCACAGTGCAATTGCTTACCACCCCTTGACCGAGGCCCATCTCGTCCCAAATTAACGATCCCGAAACAGATAAATCCCGAAACCTGGGAAACCAATTCTGGAGGAGCGAGAGGCCCGAAAATAGAGAGTGCAACAGAGAGAGCACTCTGAGAGTCTGAAAGTGAGAGCCCCAGAAGAGCAAAGGCCCTTCTTTCCGGCTGACCCTCACTTTTTTACTGGGCATGACGCTGCATGATATGGAATACTAATTGGCCCGTTTGGCCCTCAATCCTAAGTCTAAGTACAAATCATAAGGAGAGTCGTGGACCCCCCATCCCGGCTATGCTCCCCCCATCCTGTTGTGCTCCTGCACACTGGCAAGAACACGGCAAGCTGAAAAGTCCTGGTGGCCTCAGTGCCAACTATAAACATCAGTGCGCTATCAGAGTTCTTCTCAGAGCAAGTCCCAGACTAAAACCAAAACACGGAGCTCTTCCAGCTGCTAAAAAGAAAAGCTAACTCTGTCCCAGCTGAAACCAGGACAGGACCCCAGAGCTGAACGCAGCACTGCAGGTGGGGTCTCACAAGAGCAGAGTAGAGGGGCAGAATCACCTCCCTTGACCTGCTGGCCACACTTCTTTTGGTGTGTTACATGTGTTTCTGCATATATATGTAAGCTCATGTATAAGTATACATTAACACGACTGCAGCTAAATGCTTTCCACCTTGTTGCAAGTGTATGCACATTGCATATGTCATATTTTGAATATATATCTGTAGGTACAATATATATTAAGTTATATTAATAAAAGTGGTATTATTCCAAGTGCAACCTAGAGAATACTACTGTGCATCAAAATTTATATATGAGTATATATACCTGGCAGGATACATTTATTAACTTATATCCTACTGTTACTCAAAATACAATCTAGACGCTAGGACTGAGCACGGAATTCAAACATACATATAAGCAAACGCATATTCTATATTCTATATTGCACGTTACAGGATGCGTACGACATATTATGTACTACAGATGTGTCCATTACATACTAGATAGCACGCATTCCACTACATACAATAATTAACTCAGTATTTACATTCGAACTTGCAGAAAGTTACGACCCATGAGTTCCAACTCAACACGCTCCCTTCTACAGGGAGCCCGGAACCTGTTTCCCGGCCCCTCCGCCCGGGGCGAGGC